TTTTTCCCATACCAATTCCCAATCTATCTGCTGTAGAGATTGATGATAAAAAGTAAACAAAATTATTTTTGGAAAGGAACAGAATCTCATCCTGTAACTTTGCAGTTTTCGTATACCTCTTTCATTTAAAAATTACACAAGAGTACTATGATGTCCAGATACTCCTCACATTATGAATGCTGTCCTTTAATTAAGGATGGACTACTACTCAACTAGCCACTGAAGCACCACTCTGGACAAAATTTGGGCAAATGACAGATTTCTAATAACAGCCTTCTTGTATGCACCAGTTACAGCTCACACAGTCAAGTAGTACATAATGTCCATTTGAGAGACAAAAAAAAAAAAAAAAGAAAACACACATGAAGTTAGCCAAGTTATTTAGTTGCTGAGTCACAGAATCACAGAACGGTTTGGGTTGGAAAGGACCTTAAGATCATCTAGTTCCAACCCCCTGCCATGGGCAGAGACACCTCACACTAGACCCTGTTGCCCAAGGCTCTGTTCAGCCTGGCCTTGAACACTTGCTCACAAGCTAGTATCACACTTACAGACCTACATTTGCAGCACTCCCCATAGTAATGTTCTGTACCTGGCAGCCTGGTTTGTGGAACCAGGAACAACAGGAACAACAAAACAGGAACAACAAAAAAATCGTATCAAATAAGCTGCCACTGGACATTGAGAAAACAAGCCATGAGCTCTTCAGTGCTAGCTAAGACCACTGAAGCCTGACACACAGCTGATTCTGCAACATCTTAAACTTCAGAAATGGTATAGAGATCAGAAACTCCAGGTTTCTTTTTCCATAGAAATTATTTTATTACAAAACTGAATTCACATGGCAGTGTAATGTATATCCATGTCAACTGGCCTTGCCACCATTATACCTTTGCAGGAGAAATACTGATTAACATCCACTGCAGGAAACTCCTTTGCATGCCTTGACATTTGTCTTTGCCATTATCAATGCTAAACTTCATATTCAAGAAAGCAACATTAGAATTGTTAACCCATTCTAGATCTTTATGTTTGAATATTTTTTTTACAGCACTCAGTTGTTAGCATATTTACAGGAAGCAAGCCAACATTCCCCCAGGCAAACTTGTCTATACCTTGGAAGTTGAAGGTATGAATTATTCCAGTAAAGCAAAGGACAGTTTCTGCCTCAGAACACTTCACTGAAGACAAAAAGCATATCCAGAACATACCTGAACCTCAGTTCCTCTGGCTAACTGTTTCTCAACTCATTTGGGTACTAGCACAACACTCCTTCTGGAGGCCGGCCTAGTGAATCACTTTTCAAATGAAGAATGGGGTTGTAAATAAGTAACTTCAAGGAAGTTAGGCTTTGTTAGCAACTACAGAGATAAGGAAACGGCTAAAATAAGCATTGGACAAGAACTGGCCAGAACGAGCTGGGTGGTTACCGACATGACAACGATCCTAAAACAAAGTGATGAGGAAGATGAGGAAGAAATAACTACTAAGGGTCCCAAAGCCCACTACCACATTTTAGTGCGCATGCGGGAGGAATTCTCTAGAAGCATGATGTAATGTATAAGTAACTCAATGAATATGTATGTTTAAGGACAATATAATCACAGGCTGGTTGATGGTCGGATGAGTCGCGCTAGGAGGAGCTATCCTCCGCGTCTCCAGGCACTGCAATAAAGAATACCTGCTTGTCAAAGTTTTTGGAGAGTTCCTGAAGATTTCTCCGAATCACAAATCACATCATCTGCTTTGTCCAAGCCAGACTCCTTTCTACCACTCCTTCTTCAGGTTTCTTCGTGTAACATCTTACTGCACAGCACATGTACATAAGCAGTCTGCTTATCCTTCACTATCTTTTCATAGTTTGCAGTTCTCTTGTATTCCTTACCTAGGATGTTCCTTCCAGCACAAACAGCTTCCTTGCTGTTCATTTCAGTTTAGTCACAGTAATTTCATAATTTAAATTATGAGGGACATTTACTATCCAACTTTCTAAGTTTCTACTCTTCAGTTTATTTCTTCAGGTCACTCCACAGAAACATTTTGCACAACATATTAGCAGAAGGGGTGACAGATTTGCACTGCTTTGTCCTTCCTTTCATTTTCTGAGAATTTAAGAACTCCTCTAACCATAACATTTTTCCTCAATATAATCAAAATCAGGTCCAAGGACTGATACTTGGGGTTTTTGTTTGTTTGTTTTTAAATCAATTCTAACTTAAGCTCAGAACTTTTCTGTATCAATTGGAAAACAGCAGCCCATGCACATCATCAAGTTAGGACTTAGCTTGCCAATGTACAGCCATTATAATTATAAATGGGCTAAAAACCTCAAGAAGATGTAAGAATGCATCAAGGAGAGCGAGATCGATACAAATTTCTGGTTCCCATTGGCCAATGAATGGTAGCATGGAAGCATGAAAATAACTTGAAAGAAAAGTCAACAGGGTAAAGATAACATCACCAAGCAACAGTATATCTGTAAATTTGTAGGAGGAATATATACTGTATCCATCATTCATACAGAGCCACCACACTTCGGCTCCACATTTACTGTTGCTACAATTCATTATTTTGTCTATCATTTTTCCTTTCAAGCAGATGTTTGAATAGCACTAATCTTTTCATTCTTATGATGCATCTTATTTCTTACTCAAGTAGAGAGCCTTATTTCTGCTATATTTAAACTGAACATCTGGGAATTGAGCTACGCTGTTCATGACCTCAAAACTTGTAGGACAATGATTATGCTGTTTCTCAGACTATGTTGCAACCCCTAAGCTAGCTACATCTCTGCCCTCTTTCTCACTTCTGAGTATTTCATCTTGAAATATCCAATCATACACCAAAGCTTGTGCTGCTTCTGTTCCTCTCATGCAGAACTTTACAGTCCTACTTGCAGATGTACAAGGAATAACACCTCCTGGATCAACCAAGCTTAACTATACCGGAGCTTTGGGCTCACAGATTTTCACACTCTGGAACTTCTGACTAGGCAGCCTGACTACTATACAAATCACATGCTAAAATTAAAGACTGAATGAATACGCTAACACAGACATCTACACAGATAATAAGGCTTAGCGTACCCTGTTAACAGCATACTCGGGACTTTCTCAGATATTCTGAAGCAAGGTTGTCTCTGGTCCAGTTGTCCCAAATATTCCTTTCTCCCATGAGGGTGCTCCTTTATGAATTGCTGCAAGCATGTTGCAAATTCATGTCGTAATCTTTCTGTTCAGAACTGCTGGCAGGATGGCAAAGGTTTCTTAAACTTACTTCAAGGACAATAGCCAATACTCACTTAAGAATGACCAACCCGGAGTTACTGCTTCTTTCTTCATGAAGACCTTTCAATTGAGCCCCTACTACACATCCCAATAAGCACAACCTCCACTGATACCTAGAGAAAGTCAGCTTCCACCACACTTCCTCTTTTCTATTCAGTTTCTCCAGGATCTTCACCCATTTCCACTAGAGGATGCTTGTCTGCACCTTTTCCTAAGATTGATGTGGACTATTGTACAAGGGGGTTAGGTAAATTGTACAGGAGGGTTGTACAAGGGGATTAGGTAAATTGTGCAGGGGGGGTTGTACACGGAGGTGTTGCTTAAGTTACATAGCTTGCTTAACAGATATATTGCTGAGCAGATACCTATTGTGCTTTACCATGCAGTACCAGAACATAACCACCAAATAAGGAAAACAGTTACTTAAGTTTCAGCAAAAACCATTTGGACATAGACCAGACTCATCCAGGCTCCTAAAGAGCCTGCATGAGGACCAAGGGTGAAAAGTTCAGGCCCGAGGAAGACTTGTTTACTTCATCTGAAGACCCCTGCCCACGACCACCAGGAGGCACTGCGCATGTGCACAGGACCTTTGAGCTCATTATAATAAAAAGCGGGGATAGGACATAAATATGTATAGGCGTATTGTGTAACCTAATGCGTATGTAGTACTTCAGAGGGTAAATGTACAGGAAAAACGACACTGAGGCACGCATGCTTTTGGAGGAGTAATCCCCCATGCGCCTCAGCTGAATAAAGGCATACCTACTTTACAACTTTAGCGAGTTGTGGAGGCTACCTGCATATCAAGATGAAGTTGCCTTTTACAAAATTAAGCAACCCCCTAGACCTAAGAAAAACATTAGGAAAATACATTTTGATTGCAGGAGTTTATAAAAATGCACCTTGCTGTGGAAGATGTAGCACAAACACACTGACATGAGTTACTATGTCAGTAGCTGTCAGTACCAAAACTTCCTCGCAGAATTCTCCCTTCAGCGCCACAGTCAAACGTAATTAACACACTAATGCGTGATCAGATCCTGCCATCCAGGCTGCCCATCACGTGCACAAGTGTTGCCTGCCCGCCCTCACTTGGTACGGCCCCGGCGCTCCGACCCTCCCCGCCTGAACCCCGTGTGAAGAGGGTGTCATATGCCGGATCCCCCCCATCTCCCTTCTCTTCTCCCCAACCACCAAACAGGACTCAAGCCTATTTCCTCGTTACGTTTTCCTGCCTCACCACGCCGAGTTCAAGTTTCCCACCTGGCGCAGGGCAAAACCAAACCCGTTCTAGGTGCAACCCCCCAGCACACACAGAGGGAAGTGGCCCCGTACCCGCGAGCCTGCGGGGGGAGAAGAGAAACTGCTCCCGCCCCTCCCCTCTACCGGCACAGAGAGAGGTCCTGGGAAAGTGCAATTACCGCCGTCCCTTCCGAGGTGGGAAATTTAAACACAAATAATTAAAACCCAAAACACACACACCACACACAGAGCCTTGGCGCCGGCGAGCGCAGCCCGCCCCGAGCACTAACAGGTCCATGCCCCAGCAGCCCCGCGCCCGGGCACCTGCACCCTGCCATTTGCACCCGCTGCTTCCCAAGGGCCCGTCGCAACAGCTCCCACCCTCACGTCTATCGCGACACACACGGCTCCGGCGGGAGTGAGACAGCACCCCCAACTTCGGGTGCCGGCAGCGAAAGGGCGACTTACCGGGAGTGCAGTGCACGGGTGAGGCCGGCGAGGAGACGGACGAAGAGGAGGGCACCGGCGGCTGCGGCTCCTTGGGGGTGCCGACGGCCGAGAAAGGGATAGCGGGAGGAAGCATGAGGTAGCGTTCGGGCTGCGGTAGGCAGCGGAGGCAGACGGAGTGGAGGCAGGGCAGCAGCTTGGGCCGCCGGCTCTGGATGGGCTGTCCGCACACGCCGCAAGTGTCCAACAGGTTGAGCGGGGCCACCTCCCCGCCGCGCTCCGCCGGACCTTGCCGGCTCTCAGCCTCGTTTTCTCCGCTCAGCGCCGCCGCTCCCGTGCGATCCGCCGGGCAAGGCCCCCCCGCCGCGCCCGCTACCGTCGCCGCCGCCTCTTCCATTGTCCTGCGCCGGCCGCCGCTGCCGGAGTCCTGAAGGGAGGCGTGGCGGCCCCGCTGCTCCCGCCGCTTCCCTCGCTCGCCCACCCGATCAGCCTCGGGCACCCCTACCCCCGCCCCGCGCAGCCCACGGTGTTTGTGTGCCTGCCCCGGGAAGACGCTGCCCAACAGCGGCCCGCTCCCGCCCCTCGCCCCGCTGCGCCCCGCCCCGCCCGCGGTGTCGGCCCAGCTCCGCCCCTCCGCGCCACGCCCCCCGAGAGGCCACGCCTCCACTGCTGCGTGCGGCGAGTGCTCCTCCGGCCCCGCCCCTTCCCCGCAGGAACCGGGCAGAACGCCGGCGGAAGCCCCGCCCTCATAGGCCCCACCTCCCTGCAGGCTCCTCCCTCTCCCCATGACGGCGGGTAGCGCGGGAGGGTGGTTAGTGCGCCACGCACGCATGGCGCTGACGATGGGACCCCATGGATCCTCTGAGACCGGGCCAAATAATGGGTTGACGCGCTGGTGGGAAGGGATGGGATACAGAGGTATGTGGACACACTTGAGAGGTGGCCAATACCAACCTCATAAAGTTCAACCAAGCCAAGTGCAGGGTCCTGCACCTCTGTCGGAGCAATCCCAGGCACAGCTACAGGTTGGGCAGAGAAGAGATTCAGAGCAGCCCTGCAGAGAAGGACTTAGGGGTGTTGGTCGATGAGGAAATGGAACATGAGCCGGCTTCAGTGTGTGCTTGCAGCCCAGAAAGCCAACCGTGTCCTGGGCTGCATCAAAAGGAGATGTAACACTTAAGTACGTGTGCAGACATGAAGCACGGCTTACATGTTGGTCACAGGTAAACCATAAACTGGTCCGAGCTCCTGAGAATATTCCAGATACCCGCATTTAAAATCCCAGAGCCAGTGTGCTTCCCACTGCCTTGCATTCCCATCAAGGTCGTAAAGTCAGACCAATAAGTAGCAGCACAGAAAAGCCTTTCATGACAAATTTCTTCAGTCCATAGAACTGCATAGAGAGCGTTGTCATGATTCAGGATGTCTCACATCCATAATTTACCATCATAACAGGAGAACAATACTACAAGTTGTTTCAGGGAGACAAGCAGATTTGGCTTCACAATGAGGAACCGTTAAAGAGATAAGTATCATTCGCTGCTTAAGAATATCGACAGAGAGGACAAGTCATGCCCTCTGAACCCATGACCTGCCAAAATACAGGGGAAAAAATGTCACCAGAAACAGTTTCCTGAAGCACACCTTCTGCCACACATCCCAGCTTCCTCTCTCCGTTTGCTTAGGATCACCAACTCATAGGGTAGAGTTCCATCGTACGCTTCCTCTAATCCTCTCCCCACTGCCTTGGCTATCCAACATCGTACAGTGATGGTCTAATAATTCCTTGTAACAGGAGCTAACATGCTGAGAGCAGTGTAAGTGTTAATGATGAAATGGATTGAGGAGTTAAAGCTAAGGAGAACAGTACAGATTCCTTAAGGTGAAAAAGCATAAAAAATGCCATTAGAATGGGTCTGTCAGGGAACAGGTGATAACTGAAGTATGTTTGATTACTTTTAATAGCACACAGGAAAGTCAGTGAATGATTTATTTGTGAAGAATGATAGCAAGTCATGAGATCACCAAACTAGATGGCTTCTTTAAGTAGTATGAGCTGTCTCTCCGATAGATGTCAACACAGGAAAACAGAGATATTCTCTAAGGCTAAAAAGATCATCCTGCAAAAGATCTGAGCAGACACTGTTGAAAATGATGATCCCCACAAGTACCCCAGAGATTAGCAAAATGATGCGATTACGTTTCCTGAAAAATTTGTTTTCTTGGGGTGTTTGGAAAGCTCACTGTAAAATATGTAGTCACGTGGCATCTGAACAGCATTTGATTTAAAATAAATGTTTGAGCTTGCATCATTTGAATTTGAAAGTAAAGAAAACCCTGCTCTCCTTCCTCCTAGTAGTGGCATCGTATTAGGAGTACTCAGGACAGGAGCAAAAAGCATGAGGAGGAACAGAAATAAGCTTGAGATAACCAGTTGTTCAGTGCATGAAGAAAAGAAAGTGAAAACAATCAATAAAGGACGCTGCATCCATTATGCTCACCTAGGTGCACTGCTTGGGACCACAGCTACAAGGCATGTGGCCAACAGGGACCCCAGGCAAAGCTGGCTTGGGGCTGCTTGTAAAAGGAAATATAGACGAACTCACCATAGGGCAGTACTTGCTGCACTGCCTTCAGTCTGAAAACAGCATCCAGTTTTGTCTAGTTTCTGTCAGAAGAAGATTTGTTGGGTTCTCCAGTGTTTGACTGGGATGAGGCAAACCAATGGCGAAAGAATGAAGATGGTGGTAAACTGATAAGAGACAGTTTAGAAAGCATGGAAATCATGTTGACTGGATGCAGGAAATGACTACAACTTGAGATTACTTCATCTCTTTTTCCCTTTTCAATACTCACAGAAGAGCATAAGAGCTGTTTGCAGTATGGGAATTTTATTAAATCCCAATTAAAGCAGTATTATTCCTCCAGCATTTCGCCTTCTGTTCAGATACGCACTTTGTGACCACAAACTAGATTTTTGCCATTTTTAATCTGGATTCCTGCAACATTCTCTACAAAAGTTATTCAGAAACTTTAACTGCAGAAGGAAATGGCTGACAACTGCCCGGCAGAACTTCTCAATGGAGGGCTCATACCTAGGAGCTCTTTGTACTCCGAATTTATTTGCTGGCTCTGATTTCTTCGTTTTGTCTTTGATTCAGTTAGTCTCCTCCCTGTATTCCTAGATTTTCTAGTAGTCAGTCACTCAAACTTACAAAAACACAGCTCGTCACAGATTACCCCTAACCATCAGCATGTACATTTCCTGCTTCTAAAACAGCCATGCGACATGAAACAGTCTCTTTCCAAAGTTATTCCATAGACCAAAATAAAGCTGCAGGGCTTGCAGCATGATCCAGACAGCTCAGTTTTTGTCCTTTATGTGGCAACTGTGAAGGAAGTGGCAGAAGAGACTCAGCACTCTGTATCATTAAAAAATGCTTTTGCCACTGTGGTCATCCAGGACCTCGGTAGAGCAGCTTTTTGGCCAGACTCTACTACCAATAACATGAAGCAGTCTCTAGGAGGATCTGCTCCAGAACATAAAGTATTTACTAGTCTGGCTTCTCCTGACAAATGGATGTCTTAATGTATGTTTGGTTTTGCTGTTGTGTGAAAACCATAAAATTTAAAAGATGTTCACTGGACACAAGATGAGTGCGTTAGAAACTCACAGACAGGGAGATGTAATGTATTAATCCTTTCAGCAGTAATGAAGAAAGAGAACTTTACGTATCCAAACAGCTGGAATAAGCAGCACATGAACATAGTGCCTCCCTAGCTATAGTGGCTGAATTAGGAATTAAACTAGAATATGGTTTAGGCCTGTAGACTGACTTTTTGAACTCCGTAACCAAGGGTCTATAAAGCTATAGTAGACTGCTTGTTACAGAAAACCTACTTGTCCTCTCAGCCATGAAAGAGTGAGATAAACCTGATTTGTGTAATTTTCTTAGGAATTTCAATTTTCTGTTCTCTATACTTCACTAACCCAGCATATGCACACACGTGAAAAAACCTTTTCTTCCAAATTGAGATGGTTTCTTAGAAACTTCCTTTTGTCCTATATGATAGGGCAAAAGAATATTTCGAATATTTCTTCGGTACCTTGGCAAATGACTGCTGGCACTCTACTTTCACAATCCAGAGATTTACTTGACCAGCTTGGGCTCAGATGGAAACTCACCACAGATGGGGCTGTGCCCAAAACCCTGGAGTGGACCAGCCGCCCTGTAATGTTTCTTATGCCCCACCCAATATGCCTCCACTGTAACTATGGAATAACACCACTATTGCACAGCTTCACATTAGTTTCATGTTCACTGTGCTTTTGTAAATTAACCCTGCGGTCATTCCAGTGGGTTCCTTTTCACTGAAAAGAGGCTTGCCCAAGGGGAGAGGTAACATGCCACTTCTGAATGCCCAGTATTAGACAAAAACTGCTGAAAAAGACCTTTGTGAAAAAGTGTTCACAAACCTTTTTTCTTCAAAAGTGTATGTTTTAGGGTTAGCCTTTACTTCCACAGAAAATTCCACAAATACATGAAAGCAGCGTGGCTAAACACGAACACATCCCAGTTAATGTCCCTTAACAATGCTCTATCCAGTTGTTTTATCACACAGTTACAGGTCCCATCTCTAATCCCCAGTGGGCCTTTGGAGACCTGAGTCTCTCCTAGGAATGAGCAGGATGCTAGGACTGCCCATGTAGAGGTGCTGGGGTTCAAAACTGAATCTATTCCGTGTTCCAAGTCCCTGTGCCCTCTGTTCAGCCTCAGTGGAAGTGGGGCATCCCAGGGTTGCAAGTACAGGCTGGCCCAGCGATAATGTAAGAGTGCAGTTGCATGCCAACCCCTGATGAGTTAGACTCAGACATTCATCCAAATAATGAGGTCAACGGACCATATTCCTAAATTATCACAGGGCAGCTCCAAATCCATCACATCCAGTTTCTTTTCTGACATGTAAAGGGCCAGAAATATCTTTCTGCAGCAGCACAAGTAACCTTGTTGGGTATAAGACTCATTTCAAGGAACTCTGGAATTATCCAGTGAGGGCTACAGCTTCTGTTGATACATCTCAGTAATCTTAGGAATTATAAGGTAGGGGGTATGACTATAGTGCCTGTAGATCTGAAATTCAGTAATAATTGAGTGCTTAGCTCCCTACCTTCCTAAGCACTTGCCTTGCCTCTGTCTCTTTATCTGATGAGGGTTTCCTACTGGATTCTGGTTAGCATTAGTGCTGCTAGAAAAGAAATGAAGCAGTGCAAACTCCTGTTGATGTATGTGTTTGGGAAGGTCCAAGGAGACCTGCAGAACAGCGTTAGGAAGTCCAAGTTACCTGGCTCCACTGGGAGACGGTAATGCACCAGGATGAGACTCTGCCCTGACTTCATTCCTGAAAAGGGACTTGCTCATTTTAATTTTTTAGGGAGGGTGGGGTAGGAAAAAAATATTGCTTTAACAGTCACTTTGAACATCAGCATTGATT